TCTATATACCTTTTTGTATAAGTACATGTTAGTATGGTAATTATTATACCAGTTTGTTTGTTATATTTATTCTATACAGTATATCGTTTTGCTATATACATGTTTGTATGGAAATAATCATACATGTTCATGTCTGTTTAATATATAGTTTGTATTCTACATACAGTAAAACCTCGTTATACTGCCACCATTTGGCCTGAGAATAATTGGCATTATAAAGGGGTTTTGGCGATAAATTCAGGGAAATGTATAAAGGTTATATCAAGACAATGAGAAAAAGGGACATTGAAATATGTTGACGGTAAATGAGGGGCATCATATCAAGGGTTTACTGTACTTCTTTGTATGCATACAAGAACTGTAAAGAACTGAATTTTAATGGTTAAAAAATACCAAAAATCTGTTAGGTACAATGTTTATTGAAAACCTTAGGCAGGCAAACATGGCTACCAGAGAATACGGAACTAAATTAAATTTTACACAGTAGATTTTGCTTAATATCACTTCTCATTTGTCAGAGAAAAACATGATATTAACCAGAGCATGATATAAAAAAACCTCTATGTTTTTCTGACCATTTCTGATGTCAAAACCTTGAAGTGACCATAATTAAATGTCCAAGTGTTAAGGTTTTACAAAAAAGATTGTTTAGTAAAAATATTTGTAACTGACACAGCTTTTCTTTATTAACAGTGAAATAATCGTCTTTTATTTGTTTATTTCATTGATTTGTTGTGACAGTTGCCAAAATAAAGTGATATTAAGCAAAATTGACACCAAAACAAGTGATAATATAAGAATTGAATTACATAGATTTTATAGCAGGAAAAACAGTGGATCAAGAAAACATGATAATAACAGAAAAGTGACATTAAGAGACATGATATTAAGTGAAATGTACTTTATAACATTTTCATTAATGAACACATGAATAAAATTATGCACACTCCGCTCTTTAATTGTTCAACAAAGCTTCTGTGTTATGCTAGCATTGTGCTTCATATCACTCCATTTATACTGTACATTAATATGCAATGGTATAAAAAATATGTTTCCGATAAAATCTTTGTTAGATGTTTAAATTGACTTTTCTGAGAGAAATAATAAATAAATATCTGGATGTGATGTATAGGAATAAATATCTACATGAGTGATATGGGTAATAGTACAGAAAAAATGATTTAACCATTTATTACCTACATTGGTGTTCGGGCATGCATATGGTAGTATGGAATACAATTAATGATTTAACCATTTATTAACTACCTACATGAGTGATGTGGGTGGTAGTACACAATACAATCATATAAATGCAATGGACTTAATTTATCATTCTACATACAGTGTATCACCTTACAGGTAATTTCACTTGAAATAAATGCGATAATGTAAAGATTTTCATGTTAATACATAGGGAAAGCAATGTAAGTAAAACCTCTCCTCCTTCACAAACAGCATATATATACAAACAGGAGCGCACATTATAGTATACCTTCAATGTCTGGCATATCTAACATAACAAGCTACATACATATTCAAAGCAACAAATTCTGGGACAAAAAGAGGCATTTCACTCTTTTATACTTTTATCAAAAGATACAATTGCATTATCATGACATTCTGATCACTCTCCTTATATCCCCGCTTGAAAATACTGGTATATATACCTATTTCACTTCTGAATATATCAAGATAAGAGCAAATACATATTCACATATTAAAATGATCCAAAAGACTATTTTTTCTGTTTAACATTACCAATAGATTATTTTTCTGTTAAGCTTTCTCCGTATTCATCTACAGAAAGTAATTGTTCTCTCCCTCTCTGTCCTCTGTTTATTACGACACCAGGTAACACAATTTTGAAAATTTAAACAGGTATCATTTATAATTAAAAGCTTAATGACCGATTAATTTATCAGTAATTACATAACTGACACGTATGACATTCCTATGTACATTTATATTCTATTTTGAAAACCAAACAAAATCTTATCAAACATTTTTTCCTTAACTTCAACCAGGCTTTCTTTGAAAGATATCCTTTCCCTATCTTTCCAAAGTGTCCGCAATAAGATAACTCCATACCTAATTAAGAGCAAAACATTACATTTTCAAAAGGACTTTGAGAAGCTTTAATAAAGCAGCTGATATCACACAAAAGCATGAAAATTACCTAGTACTAAAGTAAATATACCAAGATATTTTGACAAAATATTCAGCTCAAAATCAAACTGATTTAACTACAGATTTTACCTTATCACATTGTTAATGTACATAATTAAATTGTCATGGTACCTGTTTATCAAGTACGTTTTAAAATTAATATTCATGTTTTTGGCAGTTATAGTGAACAAGAGGTCCATTGGACCTGTATCGCTCACCTGGTTTTATATTTAAGTCATTACAACTGAATGCATTAGTACATCTTTTTATATAATTTCCTCAAAACCAGACAAGATCTATGTTCTAACCCAACTGGGACCACAACATCTGACTTTTAACTAATCAGGGGCCTCCATTGAGTTGCCATGTTAACAGATTTTGAAAGAAGTAATATGTCATATTACAGGGTGTAATTAGACAATACTTAAATTTTCATTCAACTGTAAGTTTTTATAAACCTAGAAACCAATTTTTAACAATTTATGAAAACTACAACATAGAATATGAAAATCTAGCTGTACCATTTCTTAGGACCGCAGGGGTCCAATCAACCTCATTCAATTAAGAAATGTTTGTTCTTCCTCAATAACGTTTTTGACCAAATTTTGTACAATCCACTCGTGCAATTAGGGGAAATTAGCGTTTTAAATCAAATTTAGCTAAGTTCCCATTCAGGGCCCCACCCCCTGGCCTCAGGGGTCGAACCAACCTCATTTATTTAAGAAATGATTGCCCTCCCCTAGTGATGCCTCTCTGGCGTTTTAAAGCAAATTTAGCTAAGTTCCCATTCAGGGCCCCACCCCCTGGCCTCAGGGGTCGAACCAACCTCACTTATTTAAGAAATGATTGCCCTCCCCTAGTGATGCTTCAGACTAAATTTAGTTGAAATCCTCACTGGCATTTAGGAGGAGATGCATTTTAAAGCAAATTTAGCTAAGTTCCCCTTCAGGGCCCCACCCCTCTGGCCTCAGTGGTCGAACCAACCTCATTTATTTAAGAAATGATTGCCCTCCCCTAGTGATGCTTCAGACTAATTATAAATTTGGTTGAAATCCTCTCAGGCGTTAAGCAGGAGATGCGTTTTAAAGTAAATTTAGCTAAGTTTCCCTTCAGGGCCTCGCCCCCTTGGCCTCAGGGGTCGAACCAACCCCACTTATTTAAGAAATGATTGCCCTCCCCTAGTGATGCTTCAGACTTAATTTGGTTGAAATCCTCACTGGCGTGAAGTAGGAGATGAGTTTTAAAGCAAATTTAGCTAAGTTCCCCTTCAGGGCCCCGCCCCCCTGGCCCCAGGGGTCGAACCAACCTCATTTATTGAAGAAATTATTGCCCTCCCCTAGTGATGCTTCAGACTAAATTTGGTTGAAATCCTCTCGGCGTTAAGCAGGAGATGCGTTTTAAAGTAAATTTAGCTAAGTTCCCCTTCAGGGCCCCGCCCCCTTGGCCTCAGGGGTTGAACCAACCCCACCTATTAAAGAAATGATTGCCCTCCCCTAGTGATGCTTCAGACTGGTTGAAATCCTCCTTGGCGTTTAGGAGGTGATAGGTTTTAAAGAAAAAGTTGACGACGGACGATGACGACGGACGCTGCGCCACGGCATAAGCTCACTTGCCCTTCGGGCAGGTGAGCTAAAAAAAGGATGAAATATACATGTACACATATTGATATTAGGATGAATACTTAAATAACCGTCAAATCCAGATTTTATTGGAAGAACCAAAAGAACCTGTATTTAATACAATACCTGGGCCCGTATTTATGAAACCATTCTCATGCTCAACGCAAACCGAATATCGTTTCAAAAGAGTTCACATAATATTTGTATCATATCGAATTATTTAAGCCAGTTACAAACAAGTTGGATTGAGCACAGAATCCATGCTTGAGCATGGGAACGGTTTCATGGATCAGGGCCCAGGAATGAAGCTCTCTCTTTCATTCAAAGAGAAAACAAATGAGCTGAAGCATCCTTGTAGTTTAAACAATTAAGTAAAATATCTCACTTCTGAAAGCAATATCAGAAATTATTTCCCTATGTGATTATGTTTATTTGTTTTCTTTCAAATGAGTTTCAATGATAGAATTATTCTACCTTGAAAGGGCAACTTTTGAGAAATTTCCATTTAGTGTTGCTCAGTAATAATCACACTGGGATAGTCGTTACTATCCTAGGAAAAGTATTCTCTATGTATATCTATGTGAACAGTTACTTCCTTGTAGCATAGAAATGTGTACCTTTCTTCCTAATGTCCATAATGATGACATCATAATACCTATGATGTCATAATCACTTATTGTTAACAATTGATTATCTGCCCCTGGCCAAAGCTCATTGTCCATTACATCACAATATAAAAGTTATCCTCCCTAAGAGTACTTTAGGTGTCTAAAACATTGTAAAATTGTCCTGATGAAGCCTCACCTTTAGAGGTGAAACTAGCCGGCCAAATAAACTTATAAACCCACTTAATTGGTGACGATTGAGTGTGTTGTGATTATAATCCTACTTTAAATATCCTAGGAAAATAGTTTTCCTTTGATAATGATAACAGTATACAGCCCGGCCGAGGGAAACAGTTCATTTGGTGGGTCCCAACTCTGAGGGAAAATTGTTTTGACTGTTGACTGATAAGGCATGAAACAACTGTTTTGTTACTTAACAATGAAAAACAAAAAAGTTCTATGTCGAATGTGATGTTTAGGTCTACCGACAGACGGCCGTCATCAATCCAGTGCCAAAAACGCTTGATCTTCTGGGTTCTTGTAATTAGAGGTGCGTTCGATTACCTAACATGTGACCAGTCAACAGTTTTACGGAAGCACACATTAGCTATAGTTCGTTTGGTGAATTGTCTGGGAAACAGTCGAAATTGATTAATATGCATTTATATAGCGAGTCAGGTAACAATAAAAACTGTCAATAATAATGATCAAATGCTAGCAATATCACAGATGTTTCTATATTTAAAAGGAACTAGGTTTTTTTTTCCAAACATTTTACCTCCCCAGCACATTTAGGATACCTTCGAGGTTGGGGAGCCCCGGGATCAGCATCTTCACAATCATGTGTCCTCATACAAGAGGGCTATCATACTTTCTTTCATACTTACTAGTATTTACATTATTATTTCTATATTTTCACTGCCTTATTTAACGTTTTTACTTACATTCAAAGTTACCGTACAAATTATCCTTACATACATATATGTATACACTCCCTTTGCCGCGCCTCCAGGTGGATTACCCTGTACTGGGCCTCACTTCCGGAACAAGTCGGCCTTGACCTTGGCTTGACCTTTTTTCTTAGTACCACTAGCATACAAAACATTCTGTGATCAAAACCTACCAGAAAGAACCCTTGTTACTGCTGTCAATAACTCCTACGGTATTGGCCTACATAAGGACAGCGACACTAAAATACTGTAATGTTAGCCTGTATGAAAATGACTGTGACATTAACATAGGATTGGTCTATGAGTACCATAGTTATTGCAAATGAGAAAAAATATTTTGATGATTTTGATATATATTTATCTAGAAAGGTATATAACTCATCCAGAAACCAAACAGGTTATCAACTTGTCACTCTACCCTGTTATATGTACTTTTCCAACTACCAATTAAAATTGGGCCAATCTAACAGAACAAATTTATGGATTTCAATAAAATTTAGAGTGTCATTTATGGTCATTTTGCTGATATTAAAGATAAGTAAGATATGTTTTGTTTTTGGACAAGTTATATGCCATTCTATATGTCAAATTCTATATGTCAAATGCATCATTTTTGTTTTCCTCATTTGCACTCGATACCTTTATGCTTTTGGTCTACATGAGGAAGACCTTAACGTTGCCCTTCACTGCTTCACTGCAGTTCGGACATTTTATCATGGCCGGTGCACACTGAAAACAGCACACTAGGTGACCGCAGGGCAGGAAGGCTATGGTCACTTCATTTTCTCCACATACCGAGCACATCAGTTGCTTCTTCCTCTCCTCAGCCTCAGTATAAAGAGATAGCCTCTCGGTCACTGTGAAAACACACACGCAAACATTTTCCTTATTAAATTGTTTCATAACAAACAAGAATTGAATGCCAAATACTAATTTCAAAACTCAAGCCCATCAGTCATTATCTCAACAGTATGATAACTAATTAATCAGTAATTTATTACAATATAAACATGTTTCAAGTACAAACAAGACAAGAAATCTGCAAAAAATCACATGCTGATTGACTGTCCAGGGTTTAATGTCCTTCCAACAGCTAAGGTCATTTAAGGACGTGCCTCCTAGTGATAGTGCAGATCTGATGCCAACTTTATAGTGTTATCTCACTGAAATACCATGCTGAAGGCACCCAGTACAGCATTCCGCCCGGTCACATTATACTGACATTTGGTGAACCAGTTGTTGTCATTACCCTAAATGCTGAACTTTAAGCAAGGAATAACAACTTCCTTTATCAAGGACTTTTGTGAGTCCAAGCCTGGGGACAGAACCCATTGCCTTCCTCGCCTGGCCGAACATTCAACATTAAAGCCCAAAAAGATGTATTTCCAAGGAAGTTTGTTGTCCCCATGTAGAGGACACAACAGTAAATCCCCAATTCTGCAGGGGGTTCCCCGCATAAGTCACCTCTCGTGATGCATGCAGCAGGTAACAGCAGGTGTATTCTTTTCCCGCAGGTATGGAAATCGCATGTATGATTGCCTCTGATGAAGAAGGACAAGAATCCTACAGAAGTGGGTGGTCACTTGCACCAGCTTAGTTGAAGTGGTGGCCGAGTGTAGTTTAACCAGGTGACAGAATATGATGTACTTTATTATCTGTACTTTATATTGTTGATCAGATTTACAAATTCGGCCAGGCATTGAACTTGAGTATTAAGTATAAACTAGAAAAGTTTAATCACAATCTGATACCATCTGCCATCACAGCAGCCTTATCAAACATGCATGAATTGTTTTGTGGTAAGTGTGTACCAGGTAAGCTTTTTCAAAATCCATTCTCTTCTTCAAAAGAAATTGTCTGGAAATATATTTACAAAATCAAGATGGCCACAGGTACCCAACTTGAGTTACGAATTGATACTAAAAGAGTTAGTAGGAAGTTGCATGAAAATCATAGCATTTTTGTAAGAGTTTTTGCATAGGAACTTTGGTGCCGGCATTTCAGTCCAAAATCTGAAGATAGCCTCTGATGGCAACACTGGACTTTTGATAAATCTGAGAATCCAACTAATTCTTCCAGATTTATCACAAGGAAACATTTGTGTTTATCAAGAGGAAATGAGAGGAGTAGTTGTCTGGACATGTCAAATCACTCAAGTGTGGTTTCATTATGTATAATTACACAAAGGGGAATTACTATCACAGGACCTGTACAACATTCCACATGAAGAAGTTTCATGTACATATATGAGAAGGGGAAATATTTATAGCTTTGGCAGACTGGCCTTTTCACCACTTAAACACACTGATTGACCAATTCCAGTACATTGTATAACGAACTTGCAAAATTCTATTACAAATTTTATCTACATTTCCCCATTGTTACTACTCTAATACCATGAGCTGGTAATACTGACACTTGCTAATAACACATTTGGTAGTGGCTTACTCTCTGGATCATTAGAAGTAGAATCACCAGATGTGATTGCGGAGAAATGTGCCCCAGCTCCATCCGAAGTCTCTCCTCCAACAGCAACCAAACCCCTCTGAGCCAGGGATGAGGCTAACTGGTTTGTTTCTGCCAGGCGTCGGTTCTCTTCCTCCTCTTGATCAAATACAATCTGCATTAGTTTTGCAGAAGTGACATCAGACATCTTGTAAGCTGTAAGTGTTTGAATGAAGTATACTGTTAACATATGTGACAAAACAAAAGATACAGTCTTACAGGAATCAATGAATGAATGCGACTCATAGAAAAGTCCTCATGGAAATATTAGGAAATGCATACTTGCCAGCAAGTAGTATCATAAAATATTGTAACAGTAATCAAAATTAAATTTGCAAAGTGAGACTGCTTTTTAATACATGAGAGTCTTTAACATTTTAATAGAATAAGTAAATAAACTTAAAAAGAGCTGTTAGTAAACAGCACATCTCGTTGGGTTTTTTTTGGGAGGGGGGGATATGAATGGCAACTATGACTACCAAGCAAAATGCCAACAAGGCTAATTGAAGGTAAAGATGACATCCAAATCAGGTACAGTTGTGTGATATGGCACAGCGTTACGATGTGTGGTGTACATACCATGTGTTCTAACATTGATATATCTAAGTCCATAACAGGTTAAAAATGAGGAAGAAATAAAATATTTTTATTCTGTTTTTACAATATTGCAACAATATTAGGCCTCTAAGGAACATCTGACATGTCAATACTGAAAGCTATATGAATTAATTTTAACATTTGAATCAACTTTGACACAGACACAAGGGTATACTTATGGCAGGATAAGCACCCCTCCCCCTTCTTATTCTTCAAAATGGCATGCTAAAAGAAACCTGTTTTCTAGGTCAACACCAGTTTAAGTGTGTCACATAATCCTACTGCTCTGATGCTTCATTCTAGAACTGATCAGCCTATCTAGATGGAGGAGATATTGCTTTATTAAACTTTTATACACAATATTAATGAAAAACAAGTTGACCTTTTCAAATATCCTGAACTGTTGATGATAACGATATATACCTTTCTTTTGTTGCTTCTTCCATATTTGCAGTGCTTCTTGTATGCGACTTGAACTGATGCCATTCGCCTTCAAACTTTCCACTGCTGAAAGGCTCATCTCATCCACTGTTGATTCTGTAGTGTATAGTATAGGATTCTATAAAACACTTTCTACAATGTTTATAACTTTTGGACACAAAGTTTTCAGAAGCACTGTTCCCTCAGGCAAATGGATTTGAAATAGCACTTGCCCTGAGGGGCATCTGTGTCTTACAAACACATTTCTAGTTTAAAGGCAGTTCATTTCAACAAAGTTGATAGCCATGCACCCCAGCAAGCTTCGTACAGATCATATAGCATAACACTAGGCTCAAATAAAAGGATGTCATTTGTAGATTTTAACATACTAGTTTTTACACAATTATTTTCATATGACCCCTGGACTTTGAAAGATGGTCAAGGTAATTCACTTGAACAAACGCATTAGCACTTCAACTCAGCAAGCCAAATGCCCTATATTGTGACTCTAGGCTTCATGATTTAGATGTATGCCAGGCGAGCATAAAAGGTCTACACCTATGTACTGTATACCAGGCGAGCATAAAAGGTCTAAACCTATGTACTGTATGCCAGGCGAGCATAAAAGGTCTACACCTCTGTACTGTATACCAGGCGAGCATAAAAGGTCTCAACCTATGTACTGTATGCCAGGAAGGAAATAAAAGGTCTAAACCTCTGTACTGTATGCCAGGCGAGCATAAAAGGTCTAAACCTATGTACTGGATGCCAGGCGAGCATAAAAGGTCTAAACCTATGTACTGTATGCCAGGCGAGCATAAAAGGTCTACACCTATGTACTGTATGCCAGGCGAGCATAAAAGGTCTAAACCTCTGTACTGTATGCCAGGCGAGCATAAAAGGTCTACACCTATGTACTGTATGCCAGGCGAGCATAAAAGGTCTAAACCTATGTACTGTATGCCAGGCGAGCATAAAAGGTGTACACCTCTAGATCTGTACTGTATGCCAAGCGAGCATAAAAGGTCTAAACCTATGTACTGTATGCCAGGCGAGCATAAAAGGTCTACACCTCTGTACTGTATATACCAGGTGAGCATAAAAGGTCTATACCTATGTACTGTATGCCAGGTGAGCATAAAAGGTTTATATTTTACCTGTATGTTCAATGTTCTGCCTTGCAGTGGCTCCTTGCTGACTTTGACTTTGCTGTCCAGTTGTAGTGGGAGTATTTGTCTTTTCTCCAGGCTGTTGACCCTGCTGGTTTGGCCGAGGGGATGCCTGCCCTTGTAGTAGATTTCTCTCCACAGGTGGAGGTTGTGGATTTGCTGGAGGGGGCTGTAAAACAGGTTCCTGACGAGGATCATTCTGTCGCTGATAACAGATACAAAAACATAAATGGCAAATGAAGAAGCATTTAAACCTCACAAACTAGTGTTTTCCCTAGCAAGTAATTTAAAAAAGAAATTTCTGACCAGTCTAGAGAATACTAATAACTGATTTGATTTCACCAGTGTAGAATAATACACTCATACATGTTCATCATTACCAAGTAGTGCATTGTTATCAAGATTTGATAAGCATTACTCTAGACATAATGTACAGTTAAACCATAACAAGAGGCCCAGGGCCTTAGCGGTCAACTGCGTTATATCATAGGTACTGGTAGCTCAATTTCATTATTGAGATGTGATGTGGAAATCAACATGTAAACAAAGTGAAATACAATACTCGTCATGTCACCAAAGGTTAAGAACTCTAAAAACTATTCAAATACATTATTTTGCTATTGAGAAATATAATATCTATTGTTATTTAGCCAATTTTCCTCTCTGGCTAACCCCTGGGATAGGACAGGATCTTAGTTTCTGATACTATATGATTTCAATTTCATTATAACGATTCCAACCAAGATTGAATTATTTCTTGCTAAAAATTGACAAGAAATAGTCAGAAGTGTTATTTCCCTATATAAACCAAGGAGGACAGATGACCAAGGGGTAATATATCTAACAGTTTATATAATACACCTAAGGGCATTTCCATCGCAAAAAAGAAATTTGAATCTTCTACCATCTGAGTGCAGAGTTTTTTTAAAATATCAGCAATTTTCCCCTTTTTGGCCCCACCCCTCCAGCCCCTTGGGCAAGGACGGATCTTATTTTTTCAAATCGATAATGCAACTAAGGACCTTTCTATCCATGAAGAGTATTTGTTTGTAAGACATTTGAGTATGATGAAGAAGCTTATGAACTTTTAACCATTCACCCCATTCGGGCCCCACACCTCCAGACCCTGGGGGTGGGGCAGCATCTGATTTTCTCATACCATCTGGCATCATAATCATTCTAACCAAGTATTAATAATTTCCAGCTAAAAATTGACAAAATATGCCAAAAAATGTTCTTTCCCTATACAAGATGACCATGGGCCTTAATGGTCACCTGCTATATTTATACAGAGAGTTGATTTTGTTTTTAACAAGAACAGAAATATTATTCAAAGTGACAAAAAAACAATAAAACCACCTTATTCAATATCTAGCACACAGATTTAAGACTGAAAAGTATTTGAAACTAGAACCTCTGATTCTAACCAAGGAAAATGAAGAAATTTTAGCACACTGACTCCTTTGGCCCCACTCTACAGCCCTTGGGGGTAGGGCTGGCTCAAAATGTTCAAAGTATCAAACTGACAACCCAGGGTTATAATTCCAATCAATTATTAATATGTAATATTCAAAGTATCATTTGCTATTATAAACCATAATACATTTTGCCCCCTCCCCCCTCCAAACAAATGTTGGTCCAAAATGTGATTTCCCTATATAAACTATAGTTCAGTTTACCCCCTCCCCAGGGGAAAACGTGAGACCCCAGGGTCATGAAATTCACAATTTTGGTAAAGCACCTTAAGACCCTTCCATCTATGAAGAGTATTTGATTCTACCATACCTGGGTCTTAAGAAGAAGATTTTTTGGCACCGCCCCTCAGGCCCCTGGGGGCTGGGGACCAAATCAGCCACTTTTGTTGTTGATCTTTGTAAGAATAATTTCCTACAGAAAATTGACAAAATATACCCAAAAGTGTTATTTCCCTATACAAACTATAGTAAACTTGACCCCCTTCCCAAGGGAGAATGGATAGCCCGGGGGTACTAAAATTTACAATTCACATTAAGCCCTTGATGATCTTTCCATCCATGCAGAAAAGTTGACTCTAGTACCTCTGAGTCTGGAGAAGAAGCTTTTTGAAATATTGATTAATTTTCCCTTTGGGGCCCCACCCTGGCCCCTGGGGTTTGGGTAGGAATCTCAATTTTACAATTTTGTAGCCTCATCTACCAAGGATGATTCTGACCAAGGTTGAAAGAAAAATGATCTTCTGGTTCTTGAGAAGAAGTCAACAAAAGGGCCAGAGAGCCTGTAGGTAGCAGTATACAGTAGAGGGTTGTGGCCATGGGTGATATTTTTGTTAAATGGCTAACCCCTGTATAATGATATGTAAAAAAAATATGAAAATAAAACTGCACTAAAATTGGTATATAAAGCATGATGAATTGGGCTATGTGAGCTTCACATTTGAAAAATAAAGAAGTTTTTGGTTTTGAGATCAAAATTTTGGCCATAATCCGATACACATGAAAAGCTAGCTTTACAGGAGGTAAAATTTTGACAACAGCACACGACGCAAAATTGCAAAAAATAAAGTTTTACAACTTTACTGGGACCCAGATAATTCTGCAAACCAAGTAGTTAATCTTTTATTTCAGACAGAACTTCGGAAAAAATTTACTAGATGTGGGGTTCAAATTTTGGGTCAAAAATAGCAACTTTTGGCAGTTTTTGGTAAATTTTGATGTGGTAACCATGGTTTTTCACACAAGTGACATACATAGAAAAAAGAGGTTTATACATTTCTCAGTACTTTATATGTATTGTAAATGTTATGCAGTTTACAAATATATATACATGTATACACGTGCTGTGTAGGGTAAATCCACTGTTTACATTTCCTCGAAATGTGCCTTGTTTATCAGAGTCGTGCCATTTCTTCTGTATACTGCTACCTGTATCGCTCACCTGTTTCTTTTGCTACATGAAACTGACATATAGCTAGGTAACTACAGACCAAATTTGGTAACTAGAACACAAGACATTTTAACATCTCTTAAACGCTTAAGATATTGAAATTGAAAATTTAATTTTAAAGAGTTTAACCCATGTTGACCTTTGACTCCAGCTAGCACTTAAAAGTTGACCTTTAACCTCATTACTGTGAATAAGAAAAAGAATCGCACTGCTGGTCTCCATAACATAACCAGGTATCATAACTCTAATCCAAATGATTCTTAGAATATTGTTGTTTGAAGTTTTTAACATATTTGACCCCTGTGACCTTGAAAGTAGGTCAAGATCATTTGAATTAGGGAACTTTATAGCACTCCATCCCAGGTACCTACTGGTCAAATATTATGACCCTAGGCCTAATGGAACTTGAGAAGAAGATTGTTAAAGCTTTTAACCCATGTTGACATTTGACTCCCGACTAGCATTTAAAGTAGACCTTTGAACTCATTACTGTAACTAAGAAATAGATTCGCACTGCTGGTCTACGTAACATACCCAAGTATCATGACTCTAGTTCAAATGGTTCTAAGGATAGTTGTATCAATTTCTGAACATAATTGACCCATGTGACCTTGAAAGTAGGTCAAGGTCATTTTAATGAGGAAACTTTATAACACTCAATCCCAGGTACATACTGGCCAAATATCATGACCCTAGTTCTTCAGAAGAAGTCGCTTAAAAAAAAAAGTTTACGCACGACGACGGACGAAATGTGATCAGAATAGGTCAATTGAGCAAAGCTCAAGGCTCACTTGTATAAAACATCTCAACTCTTGAGATTTCCTCAAGTCTAAGATTTCCCATAGACAATACATTGCTTGAGACTTTCCTTAACTTTGAGATGTTTTATACAAGTGGGCCCTGGTGACCTAAAAATGGTAAGTACAAAATGAGAATGTTCAAAAAGGGAAAGGTGCTCAACTGCCTAATGATTTATGAATCATTTAAACTGGTTTAACGGTAAAGTTTAGAATGAGAAGAACAAACAATTATTGTCTGTGAAAAGATAGATGAACTGATGGACAAACTGCTTCCAGCATACAGCTCTTTAATTTTTTTATTGCAAGGGGTGTACTAGGTATAGCAGCTGGCTGTGTCCTAATATTTGCCATCCTGATTGATACCCCATCATTATATAAAGGACAAATAGGATGAAATCCCAACTTTTCCCATTATAAAGTAACACATCATACCTTGCACACTAGTATATAACTAGCATTTTCAAATTACCGAGCAAGAGAATACTAACAAGAGATCCCAGAGGGATCTTGGTGCCCACCATTGTACCTTCTTCATTAGTTCTTTGTCAGTTCGATCTTTTCTCTTCTTTCCTCTAATCTGTTTGATCCAGTCATGTTAACAGTAAATGCACCTTGATCTAAACTTAATACTGATGCGTATGAAAGCCAACCTTCAAAGTGAGTTTGTCATTTAACATATTTACTAGTACAGTACTTAATGTGCAAGAAATAAAATCGATCATTGCAGTATGAGAAAGGTCTGTTTAGTTCTTCCTTCAGCCATTTTGTTTTTAAGATCAGTCTCAAAATAATATAACATGCACAACGAGGGATCAAGGGGAACCTACATATCAAATTTGAGAAAGTTCCCTCAAGTTATTCTTAAGAAATAGTACTAACAAACCTTCAATGTCAAAAATCGAAGATGGCTGGCGGTAGGCCATTTTGTTTAACTGATCAGTTTCTAAAGTAAATATGAACAATAAAGGATAGTAGGAAACCTGCATTGGCTGGCCCCAAATTTGTTTTGGGGTGAGTAAAAATTTGAAGCACTGGCCAAAACGACATATTGGTGGCCCAAATAATTTTGGGAAGAAATATTTCCTCAGCATTTAACACAATGCTTCAGCACATTTAAATTACATATAACATGACAATGTTTGTAATATGTAAAACAGAATAAAACATTATATTTTTAATTCTTCAACCCTAGTTAAAACCGGACATGTTTCCAAAAGATATACACAAAACTCGAACCTCAAAGAAGACACCCTGGCAGTATTAATATAGAAAATCTGAAAAACAATCATCACATTTTCCAAATCACAGACCGTTCAATTCAAATCGAAGTAATGACAACTGAAAAAAAAATGTACTGCCCCCAAGCTTATGTGGAATGGACTATAATTTCTTTTATTCATAAATTTTTCAACAGTCGCCCAAACTATTTTTGTTGGGCCAGTGACTACCTCACTTTTGACAACTTTTGGTCGCGCAAGACTTTAATCGCCATTGGCGAGCGGGCGTCATTCCATTTCAGGCACTGCTGCACTACAAGGGATCAAGGGGAACCTACATATTAAGTTTGAGAAAGATCCCTTTGGTACTTCCCGAGAAATAGCGATAACAAACTTTCACTATCAAAATCCAAGATGGCTGCCTATCAGCCATGTTGTTTATCCGATCAGTCTCAAAAGTTGCATTGCATAGCTAGGGACAAAGGGGAACCTACATATAAAATTTGAGAAAAATCTCTTTGGTACTTCCCGAGATATAGTGATAACAAACTTTCACTATCAAAATCCAAGATGACTGCCTATCGGCCATGTTGTTTATCCGATCAGTCTCAAAAGTTACCCTGCACAGCTAAGGACCAAGGGAAACCTTCATATAAAATTTGAGAAAGTTCCCCCGTTTGCTTCTTGAGAAATACTGATAACAAGAATTGTATTATCACTGTAGGATATTACAGGCATACATAGGTTTTCTGTATTGAATACATACATTATTTTCTTGCCGTTGTTGAACAAGTCTAACAAATCGATCTCCCTTGTTTTGACGTACATACAGACATCGTGGAAACCAGCGAGCATGTTCTACCCAGGGGTCATCACCCGGCTCCCAGTTACGCAGTCCTCCCCCACAGTAGAAACAGCGACAATAGTCACCATTACCTGCAAAAAAAAAAAAAAAGTAAGTCACAGTCTCAATAATACTTCTTATCAACAAGAGGTCCAGAGGGCCTGTATTGCTCACCTGAATATTTAAGCAGTTATAGCAAAATATTCTCATTAAATATTCTATTGTACTACAAATATTTCCCTCGCAAAATTTGTTGGCTCCATCTGTTGCTACCAGCCAAATAATATAATAAGATTCTATGCTTTTTATTCTTCTTCAGAAGTTGTTTGACATATTTTTCCCTGTGACCTTGTAAGTAGCTATATGTCAATGTCATTTTCCTTCTCAAACATTGTAAGCTCTATCTCAAAAAGCAAGCAGCCAAATCCTATGAATCCATTCCTTTTGGTTCTTCAGAACAAATCCTTTGAAATGTTGTTGACCTCTGTGACCTTTAAAGTATGTTGAGGTCATTTTCATTTGAAAACTTTAGTGAGCTCTATCCTAGGAAGCCACCAGCCAAATATTATAATTTTATGCCTTTCCATTATTCATCAGAAGTCGTTTTATTTTTTTGTAATATTTGACACCTGTGTCCCTGAAAGGAGGTCAAGGTCATTTTCATTCTCAAACTTTGTCGGGCTCCATTTCAGGAAGCCAACAGCAACATATAAAGGTTCTTTACCTATTAGTTCTTCAGTAGAAGTCGTTAAATAGTTTGACCTATTTGACTGCTGTGACCTAGAAAGTAAGTCATGGTCATTTTCATTCTCAAACTTTGTCGGGCTCTATCCAAGGAAGCCACCAGCTAAATATGAAGATTTTTTACCTTTTAGTTCTTCAGAAGAAGTTGTTTGAAGTGTTTGACATATTTGAACGCTGTGAACTTGAAAGTAGGTCAAAGTCATTTACATTCTCAATCTTTGATTGGCTCTATCCCAGAAAGTCACCAGCAAAATATAAAGACTCTTTACCTTTCAGTTCTTCAGAAGAAGTCGTTTAAAGAGTAGGACACATTTGTATATGAAATATCTTTTACTGCACAAAAAATAAAGATGGTACAGCTAAGATATGACTTTAAAGTGAAATGAATTAACATCAATATAAGCAATGCATTTTTAGAACTTGTTTGGACAAGAAAAAAATTGGTCAGGCTTATGAATTTTGAAGCTAAACTTAGTTGTGCAGACTGCATTAAAACATCAATATGTCACACAAAATACAAAATATTTATTATTAAACAAACCCACATCAGCTGTGAGGTCAAGAAGGTTTGACAGCCTTTGACTAATGGTGTACCAATCGGTATGGGTTTGATGTATCACCTATACGTTGGGCGCCTCTTTCTTGAGTGCCTCGGTAGCTGTGATTGCTAATGCTCACAGTCAGTACTACTGTGTGCAATCAAGTATAAGCTTCAGACAACTCGCTCTCCCATGAATTTCGGTTCGATCCCCAGTGGTGGCGGAAAAAGAGAGTGACGTGTTAGTTGTCATCTCTCTGATGTCACGGTGGTTTTCCTCCACGGAGAAAACATAATTTGTTCCCTTAGCAGCGTCGTAAGAAAAGCTCTACGGAACTTTTGTTTGCTGTTAACAATGTACATAACATTAAATAAAGATTATTTATTTATTATTTTACTTTATAGTAGTCTTTGTGTCTAACAGGGCATTATGGGTAGTAATTGGACCAATGTTGTACAAGTCATTTTACTGAATATCATCACACATGACAATGCTAATTACACCGGTATGAATAGGAGAAATTCAAAATCCCATAAAAGTATAAGAACTCATTTTTTTTTTAAATGAAAATCACTCATCGCTCCTTTAAAATATACATCTATGTTAATACATGAAATACTGATGAATAGCAGTTGGGGAGATAAATAGATATTTGTAATGATTCCTCATCCTATGTTTTCATTAAGTAAGAGATCCCAGAGAACTATTGGCACCTGCTGGCAGACATCTTGTTCTTCAGATCAGTTTAAAAAAAACACCATGCACAACGAAGGGATATTTGAGAAAGATCTGTCAAACACTTCTTGAGAAATAGCCATAAAAAACTTTCACTATCAGATTTAAGATGGCTAAATGGTGGCCCTCTTATTTTTTAAATCAGTCTCAAAATCAAACATACAAATAAATCATGGACTGCTGGAAACTTCCATACAAAACTTGTTCTGTAAAACTTATCCTTGAGATATATATATATAGTAATATCAAACTTGAACATTCAAAATTAAAGACGGCTTCCGGGCAGCCATTTTTCATTTTCCTATCCATCTCAAAATGAATCATGTGAAATTACAGACCAAGGGGGAATCTACAAGTAAGAAATTTGAGACAGGTTTTTCCAAGTACTTCTTGAGAAATAACCTGATTATAAAAATTGTTTAGGGATACAAACTACAGACTGACAGAACATGAATGATTTTAAACTAAAAACAGAAAACAACTTGATATTCCTTATATAACAATATAAAAATGTTTTTTTTTGACTTATTCCTGTTTCAATTTAAATACATGTAAAAGGATTTTGATTTTTGTTACCTATTCCCAGTAAGTATAAATAAAACATTAGTAAATGCCTACATATTGTCGTCAAAAATAAAACATCTAGGTCAATGGAGCATCTTCTAAACAATAGGCCAATTGGCATGTGTTGGTCTCTTTAATGTATTTACAATTTGATTGGAACTCTCCTATCTTGAAGTTAATAAATGACTTAAGCTTGACCTATCATGGTCTTATGTCGTCTGCATTTTATATAGTCACCAGTTATTAAATGATGTTAGAAAACACATATCACAACTGGTAAATAATATTTTACAACCCTGATGTTTTTTGTTTATTCAGAAGGAGTAATTGAAAGATTTTAAAGCATTCAAACAAAACTGCAACAGATAACACTCTATTTCACCTTATTATTAGGTGGTTAGGTGAATTTTCAGCTAGAAGTGATCTATTCTTTACAAATGTAAAGTTATCGTATAGCGACCTCAAGGTGAAGGTTTTTAGCTTACCTGGCACGAAGTGCCAAGTGATCTTATGCCGTGGTGCGGCGTCTGTCCGTCCGTCGTCCGTCGTCAATATTTTGCTTTAAACGACTTCTTCTTAATAACCAAAAGGCCTAGGGTGATGATATTTGGCAAGAAGCAAACTGGGATGAAGGGCTACAAAGTTTGTTAAAATTAATGACCTTCACCCATTTTCAAGGTCACAGGGGTCAAATATGTAAAAAACTTTGAACATCTTTTTCTTGATAACCAAACTGCCCAGGGAGATGATATTTGGCCAGTAGCATGCTTGGGTGAAGGGCTACCAAGTTTGTTCAAATAAATGACCTTCAATTTTATCAAGGTCACAGGGGTCAATTATCTTAAAAAAACTTTAAACAATTTCTTCTGAATAACCAAAATGCCCAGGGTGATGATATTTGGCCAGTAGCATGCTGATATGAAGGGCTACAAAGTTTGTTCAAATGAATGACCTTCACCCATATTCAAGGTCAAAGGGGTCAAATATGTTAAAAACTTTAAACAACTTCTTCTCAATAACCAAACTGCCGAGGGAGATAATATTTGGCCAGTAGCATGCTTGGGTGAAGGGCTACCAAGTTTGTTCAAATGAATGACCTTCAATTATATTCAAGGTCACAGGGGTCAATTGTCTTAAACAAGAGGCCCAATGGGCCTGAATCGCTCACCTGTTATCAATCTCACACTTGTAAACTTAAAAGTGGAATAAAATTTAGCTACAGACAGACTATCAGTGTTTGATTCATAAGAACCTATTAAAAGATTTACACATATGACGCCTGTGACCTTGAATGTCGAACAAGGACATTAGGCTGAACAAAGTTTAAAGTCTTCCATCCTGGCATGCTTTTGGCAAAATATCATTACCCTGGACCTTTTGGTTATACAGAACAAGTCATTTAAAAATTTAATCATATATTGACTACTGTGACCTTGAATATGGGCGAAGGTCATTCATTTTGACAAAATTGGTAGCCCTTCATCCCAGCCTGTTAATGACCAAATATCATCACCCTTGACCTTTAGCTAATTGCATTGAGAAGAAGTCGTTTAAAGGTTTTAAACATATTTGACCCCAGTGACCTTGAATATAAATAAAGATCATTCATTTGAATAAACTTGGTGGCCCTTCATCCCAGCATGCTACTGGCCAAATATCTTAACCCTAGGCCTCTTAGTTATTCAGAAGAAGTTGTTTAAACGTTTTAACATATTTGACCCCTGTGACCTTGAATATAAGTCAAGGTCATTCATTTGAACAAACTTGGTAGCCCTTCATCCCAGCCTGCTCCTGGCCAAATATCATTATCCTAGGACTTGCGGATATTGAGAAGTTGCTTAAAGGATTTTAACATATTTGACCCCTGTGACCTTGACTTTAAGTCAAGGTCATTAATTTGAACAAACTTGGTAGCCCTTCATCCTAACATGTTACTGGCCAAATAGCATCATCCTTTGCCCTTTGGTTATTGAGAAGAAGTTGTTTAAAGGTTTTAACATATTTGATCCCTGTAACCTTGAATATAAGTAAAGGTCATTCATTTGAACAAACTTGGTAGCCCTTCAACCCAGCATGTTACTGGCTAAATATCATCACCCTAGGCCTCTCGGTTATTCAGAAGAAGTTGTTTAAATGTTTTTAACATATTTGACCTCAGTGACCTTGAATATGATTTAAAATCATTTATTTGAACAAACTTAGTAGCCCTAGATCCCAGCATGTAACTGGCCAAATATCATCACCTTAGGCCTCTCAGTTATTCAGAAGAAGTTGTTAAAGGTTTTAAACATATTTGACCCCTGTGACCTTGAATATAAGTCAAGGTCATTCATTTGAACAAACTTGGTAGCCCTTTATCCCAGCCTGCACCTGGCCAAATATCATTATCCTAGGACTTGCGGTTATTGTGAAGTTGCTTAAAGGATTTTAACATATTTGACCCCTGTGACCTTGACTTTAAGTCAAGGTCATTAATTTGAACAAACTTGGTAGCCCTTCATCCTAACATGTTACTGGCCAAGCTGTTCAGGACAAGTAGCGTTTTAAAGGAAAAGTTGACAGACGACGGACGCTGCGCCATGGCATAAGCTCACTTGTCCTTTGGGAAGGTGAGCTTAAAACATGAGAAAAGTGGTAATAGCTGAAATACAAAATTTATGGTAAAGGTACAACTATCATTTGTACTGTTATCTGTTTTAACCAGCTGAATTCTAAACGAAAAACAACTGTCTCAGCTAAAAACTCTGAAGACTTGTTTCATAAATCTCATATGAAATGGAAACTAATGTATGATCCTATATGTATTACTTCAGACAAATTTAATACATGGATATAAGAAAAGGAGCGAACTCCAAAACAAGAGGCCTGTATATCTAAGCAACTCTAAAGATTCCAAGAATAGGGCCCGTCACCAAGGCCAATCCTGGACGAATATATTATGTATCCAAATCTTATTGACAAGCAATTGTATATATTATTATAGGATGGGGGCAGATATGAAGGCCAATTCTTTTAATATAATTATATTCACCTCTACATGCCTAGGAATTGTGTAGGTAGGGATCACAAATTACTTCTGTGTTATGAATCTCAACCCAATAACCATATATGCATTTGTACAATTCTGAATCCCCTGAGAATGCTTCCTACCAAACATGGTTTACATCCATCTTTTAGTTCCAGGGAAGAAGTCACTTAAACCAATATGACCAAATTATCACTATGGCCCCACTCCTCACCTACACTTCAGGATGTTTTCAGTCAAATTTGGTTATCATTCAATCAGCAATGCAAAAGAAGTTGTTTAAAGAAATTGTTGATGGACAGGTGGACAGACGGATTGAAGAAGAACACCATGGTACAGCATAAGCAAACCTTGGTCCTTCATACACAATACATGTACCAAAATCCAGTCACTGATGGGCATATTAAAAGTGGGTCACTTTTTCTCAGTCCACTTATTTCCAGGTATGTAAAGGATTTCTGTGGCTACACGCAAGACATCGCTTTTTACAGTGCAATATAATATATATGTCTTTGATACTTGCTTGAAATGCTTGATAATACATGTACTTCATTTTGATGCAATGTCATGGAAAAAGTCAGCAAAATCAAGCACTTCATGCCTGAATTGAATACTTATTAATATCGTACTTTAGTAATTTTGAATACAAATGTGCCATTACCTGTGTAGAAGAATCCTGCAGACGACATTTCATATGGTGTTTGGTTGAGGTATGCCGGCCAGCCGTGTAAGAAGGTGTCTGATCTGGTGGCCTGGACAGCATAGTTAGGATAGCGAGGCATGTAGTTACCCTGTGGGTCAGCTCTAGGAACACCCCTGGGTACCTGTTCCTCATCTGGTCTGGGAGCAGCGCTTGGGGCTGAATTTAATGGTGGATTCTGTGGAAATATAATTCTGCCCCATTCCTGTCCTGGTGGATTATTATTTGGAGGTGGGTCTTGGCCTCTGGGTTCCTGTTGTTGTTGTTCCTGCACGTTAGGGTCTGCTCTCGGCTGTGGATTCTGTGCTGGCATGTCTGGAGGAGCTCTGTCTGATCCTCCTGTCTCTCTACCGGATGCTCCTTCTGTCACAGAGTATACATTGTACATGTTAAGGTAAGTCAAGCAACCGGTGAATGAGATATCTCCTTAGATAGAACTTTTTATTTCTAAACACTTTTAATGAAACACTGATTTTTAAAATTTTAAATAGCAGTGATACAGTGATAACATAGTCTGAAAACTAGAACTGGTCTTTAAAAAGAGGATAAATTTAAATCTCTCTCGCAATATAGCCTGCTGTCAGTTTCAGTATGTAGCATATTGAAATCATAAATGTTACAGGAACACATAAAATTCTATAAATTCATAACATTGAGATTATGGAAGCATACATTTATCATTGTTGATGTTGCAGATCAGCAGAAATAAATGACGGAAATTGGGATTATTTTACGGAAACTCGGTTCATGCTATTTTTTTCAGAGAATATTTCACATATTTTTGTTTGTATGATTTTACAGGTCCAAATTCCAAACAAAGGTACACCTTGGGACAACTTTTGAGAAAGACCAGCCCTATAGAACCCACATGGCACTGGTATTCTTCCTTTCTAACCTGTCAGGATGAAATTTGAAGTGTATCAAGATGACAAGAGATTACTTCAAATATTTTGTACTGTGAGTATGTTATTTAGTCATTTTAATGCATAGCAAGTCTTACTTGCAACAATATCTTTTCACAAAATATCTCAAGTAGTCTTACAATATAAGGCAAATTCCTTTTCAATCCTTGAGTATTAATAATGTAATGTACATTTGAAATATTTTGCTGTAAATGTCTTTTCCCTCGAGAATAAATTAAAAAAAATATATATGCTGAAATGCTGCTATACAACTTCTCTATGATATAGACTATATACAGCAAGAGAGACAGAACATTAATATAGGAAGGACAGTGTTGATGAAATCTTTGTTTGCCTATAGCTGGCTCAGGATTTTAAGTTCTATAATTATGTCATCCTCAGTCCCACAATTGATATAAGCATCAGCACGATTTTCACCTGGGACCGAAGATGTAATTAGGAAGGTAATTTGTAGGAAGGTAGAGGGGTAAACAAGTTTTGTGTATACCAAAATTAGAAAAACAACCTGTATGATGTAAAGCCAGTGATCCAAACTTTTAATGGTGCCCTGAGAAAAACAAGAAGCCCAGAGGGCCTGTATCGCTCACCTGAAAATGTTTAAAATAATTGGAATGAAGTAAAGATATATCACTTCATTGTAGGTGCTGTAAGTACATATGAAATTTCAGAAAGATCCTTGAGATATAGCGAGAACAAATTTCAAACAGAGCCCCCACCCCTATGCCCCTAGGGGGGGGTCATACCCACCGTTTATACAAAATTGGTTCCCCTTCACCAAAGGATGCTTCATACCAAATTTGGACAAAATCCTGTCATTCCTAAAGAAGCAGAAGAAGGATTTTGAAGAATTTGCTATGTTTTCCCTATTGGGCCCCTCCCTTCTGCCCCAAGAGGGGCCACACTCGCTGTTTATACAAAATTGAGTCTCTTTTGCCCAAGGATGCTCCAGACTAAATAAGGATAAAATCCCTTATGGTAGAAGAAGGATTTAAAGGGTTTTACCTCTGTTTCCTTTATTGGGCCCCATCCCTCAGGTCCAAGGGGGGGTCACACCCACTGTTTATACAAAATTGGTTCCCCTTTACCAAAGGATGCTCCACACAAAATATGGACCAAATCCTTTCATTCCTACAGAAGAAGAAGGTTTTTAAAGAATTTGCTATATTTCCCTTATTGGGCCCCGCCCCTCAGGCCCCAAGGGGGCCAGACCCACCATTTATACAAAATTGAGTCCCCTTGGCCCACGTATGCTCCACACCAAATATGGACGAAATTCTTTCATTCCTACAGAAGAAGAAGGATTTAAAAAAATATTTTGCTATTTTTCCTCTATTGGGCCCTGCCCCTCAGGCCCCTGGGGGCCACAAACACAGTTTATACAAAATTATTTTCCCTTCACCCAAGGATGTTTCAGACCAAATATGGACCAAATCCTTTCATTCGTACAGAAGAAGAAGGATTTTAAAGAACTTGCTATATATCCCCTATTAGGCCCCGCCCCTCAGGCCCCTGGGGGGCCAGACCCACGGTTTATAAAAAATTGAGTCCCATTGGCCCAAGGATGCTCCAGACTAAATTAGGATAAAATCCCTTAATCCCTACGGTAGGATTTTAAAGGTTTTACCTCTATTTCCCCTATAGGGCCCCGCCCCTCTGCCCCTAGGGGGGCTACACCCACACTTTATACAAAATTAAGTCCCCTTTGCCTAAGGATGCTCCTGAACAAATTTAGTCAAAATCTACTTGGCCGTTCAGGACTAGTAGCGTTTTAAAGGAAAAGTTGATGGACGGACGACGGACGATCAACGGATGCTGCGGTATGCATAAGCTCACCATGGTCCTTTGGACCAGGTGAGCTAATGATAAGGTAGACACTAAAATTACTGTTGGTAGGAAAAGTGGAAACATAGTTGTTTAGCCTTAAACTGTATCTCTGATCCATGCAAACTAAAGGTGACATACCACTAGAACTTGACAGACTTGGACCAGCCTCAGTTTGGTCTTCAGCAGCTGATGCAGTATGTGCCACAGCCTCAGCAATAGGGTGTGGTGTACTGTCAAGACTGGCTAGTCTAGGTAACACTTGTGACAGATCCTCTCGGCCGATCTCTGTGCTACTGGATTCCCTGTGTTGCCCTATACTGGATGAAGCATCATCTCCTAGGGAAGTTGGATCATGTGTTTTATGAACTGCAATGTTTGTTTTCTGGCTTGGATGCTGGCTTCTGGTATCTACAGTTGCAGTGTCCCTGTCCAAAGCTTCTGTATAAATATAACAATGTAATATATATTTTATGTTTTAATTTAAATTGAATTCACTCCTCACAATTCAATATAATTTATCTTTTCATGTACCTATACTCAGCAAAATATTAAATGCTCCTTGCTTTGTTATTGAATATTATATACTACCAAATGTTTGCCAAGTCAAACTTTCACCCTTTACCTGTGAAATCCATATTCACCCAGTGTTGATTTCCCCTTCACATTTAATCACTATGTTAATTATGTTGTTAATTAATGTTTGCTGTAATGATAAATTTGTCCTCACTCCAAACGGCTAAAAAAATTTAACAGCAGCAAATATTTCCTGGTATAAAGGATAAATATTTAGGGAATATTTTCTATTTTGGTCAGGTTATGAGGGATAAATTGAAATGATAAATTCTGTTTCTAAACTCTTTTCCTTGGAACTAAAGTGTCTGTTATAATGAAGTTCTGCTGTTGAATAATTCCTCGTGGTCATTTACTAGGAAATCTCCTAATCCAAACTCACTTATCTATGGATATTCCTAACTGTTCCAGTATTTTCTGCAGTTTTAGTACATTACATACCTGCTTCGGGTAGGTCAGCAGGCTCCTCATCAACTGGTGGTCTTGCTGCCTCCTCCAAAAGCGGTTCCCATGGTATGGCAGGCCACTGGTTAATGACATCTGCATAGATGGGCATATTTCGAGCATCACCGTCATTGAGGTGCAGACAATGTGGAGATATCCGTCGGTGAATTTCTAGTGGGTTATCTCCCTCCCTCCATTCTCTGTAGATCTGTCCACAGCTATAGCAGCAGGTCTCCGACACTCTACCCGTGTAGAAAAACCCTATCCTTGCCAAATATAGGTAGGACACTCCAGCATTTCTGGGAAAGGACCAGAAGCTCCTTACACGCATCCATTCATACTGCATGCTCTCCAGTACAGTGATCTGTTGTCCTTGCTCCATCTGTTGGAAGTAGCGACCAAGCCCATGTAAAGCTGGTTCCACGATAACAACCATTGGAGCAATTTCATGAAAAGTCAACAATCCAAGTCGTTCCAAGTGGTGCAGTAACCACTGACCTCTGTGAAAGTTACACGCGACACTTCTTAGTGTACACAATGGTCTCCTTTGGGGATCTTGTGTGACCTCTAGATCATGGAATGTGATGATGGTTTTCTGACTAGAAGTTTTATGGATGATGTAAAACAATATATGATGAACTCTATTATTGGAGAAGGAAATGTTACTAACAGTGTTACAGTTAGTTTGCAATAATTTCTTATTGTCATCTGATAAGTTCCTCTGTGAAGTGATACAGTCGTCAGAAGTGTTATAGCAGTCAGAAGTGCTACAGTCGTCAGAAGTGTAATGGTCTTCAGAAGTGTAATGGACTTCAGAAGTGTAATGGTCTTCAGAAGTGTTATAGTAGTCAGAAGTGTTATGATCTTCAAATGATTCACTTGCATTTGTAACCAAGTGAGAGGAACTTCTGTCTTTGCTTTCTTTGAACTCATGTTGGGAATTTAAAAATGTATCAGATGTATCTCTTTCTTCATTAAAATTATATGTCGCCTTTTCTTCATTTTGTGATTTGCCTAGATCATACATGATCAGTTCTCTCCTTATCGACAAGAAAGATGGAGAACTTGAAAAACTGGAGAGGAAGCTGGAATTGTACACGTATACTGAATGGTCATCACCGATACTTTGTGGGTTACTCAAAACCCCACTATCAAATATCTCCTCATGTAAGACATCTTTGATCCTCTCATGATGTGAAATGCCAGTTTCAGATTTATTCTGAACAGAGTCAGATACACTGAAATCCCTAGTTGGTAAGGAATCATCACACCGATTTGTTTGTGATAGGAGGGGTTCATTTTCAGCATTGTTTAGGTCCTGTAACACATTCCTCTGCTCCAGAGATTGTAGATCAAGTTTTTCATCTCCACTTTCACTAGATGAATGAATCAAGTTTAATGAATGAACACTGGTGGCTGACATATCAAAATGATTTTCAATTCCAGATGTCTGAGATATGGGAGAGGACCAATGAATTGAATTAACTATATGATCAATAGAGATATTTTTCTCATTCCAGCCACTGTCGTGCTCGAGTGAATGTATATCATTGAAAGACTCCTGTTCTATGTGTTCACTTTCTTGGAGAAGGGGGATCTCTCTCTCACTGATAAGCCCTTGGACTGGTTGGCCTGGCCATTCACATCGTTGAATACGCAATTCTGGCAAGTCCAGATCTGGACAACTTTCCAAATCAATAACATGACTTGAATCAGAATATATTTCATCCCCCTTTTCATTTCTGTACAATTCATTTTGAAATGTTGATCCTTTGACTGGCTGTAAAGTTTTGTCTTTATCACAAACATTGTTGACATTTTCTTCACATGGATCACATGTGTCTTCAACATCTGCAAAATAAGTTAAACACATCAGAATTTTTTTATAAAGGAAACTTTTTTTTTATGTGTACCTGATTAAGAAATCTAATTAAAACCACATTCCAACATGAGGCCTAGGGGGCCTGTATCACTCACCTGGTTATTTAAGCAATCATGGCACAATATTTACATTTGCTCTGTAATGCCAATTTGTAACCACTTCAGACATGTAGGGTAAGAACTTGGAAGCGTTACTATGGAGACTTTATAATTCATAAAGAATTAAGGTTATTACTATTACTAGCACATTAGTTGGGTTGGAGATAAAAAATATGTGATGGCTGTTCATTTGTCGAATTGTCTATATAAACAATACCAAACTTTACCCCCTCCTCATGGGCAAACAGGGGCCCTGAGAGACATGAAAATCACAAATTTTATAAACCACCACAAGGCCTTTACAGCTATGAGTAGTATTTGATTCTAGCATTTCTAGAACTGCAGAAGAAGATTTTTGAAATTTCCCTAAATCCCCCCCCCCNTTCATATACATGTTTGTATAAACTATACTAAATTTCACCCCCTCCTCAGGGGCAAACGGGGGCCCTGAGAGACATGAAAATCACAAATTTTATAAACCACCCAAAGGCCTTTACAGCTATGGGTAGTATTTGATCCTGGCATTTTTGTAACTAGAGAAGATTTTTGAAATTTTCCCAAATTTCTCCCCTTTTTGGCCCCTTACCCAGCCCCCTAGGGGGTGATACTCATTTATATTATACCAGCAGACCTTCCTCCCCTTACAAGTATTTCTCTCAAATATGAACTTTTTTTTCAAAACAATGGAAGATATGGCCCGTCATGTCTATTTCATATACATGTTTGTATAAACTATACTAAATTTCACCCCCTCCTCAGGGGCAAACGGGGCCCTGAGAGACATGAACATCACAAATTTTATAAACCACCCAAAGGCCTTTACAGCTATGAGTAGTATTTGATTCTAGCATTTCTAGAACTGGAGAAAAAGATTTTTGAATTTTCCCCTAAATCCCCCCCCCACTTTTTGGCCCCTAACTCAGTCCCCTAGGGGGCCACACCCTTATATCATAAATCCATTGAGCCCCTGGTCCCAAGGATGCTTCATATCAAATTTAGTTAAAATCTAATCAGTCGTTCAGGAGATAAAGGCTTTTAAAGGGAAAAGTTGATGCCGGACGCCGGGGTACGGCATAAGCTCACTTGCCCAACAAGGCATCACAGACAACATCCTTGCAATTGAATTGATCGATTAGAAATGGCAAGTGTGCTACATAGAGTGACAGAAGATTATTTGTGAATACAAAAGCTGATGTTTGTGAATATATATGTGAAGTTTAATTACAATAGGACACGAAATAAAGTCTGCAAAGATGAAACCAAACAAGCAAATTCTTGGGAATTTATATCCCCTGCTTTCAGGACATTTTGTAGGTAAACATTATTGAGATTAGGTTAAAAATGTGAGTATCGGCTGTTGAGACATAATGTACAGCTTGAAACTGGAAGAAAAAAAAGCCTTATCTAATATTTGCTAGAGTTATTAAGCGGAAACTGCAGATAATGACTCTGCCAAATATAGTCTGATTAAAGTGGTTGCCAAACTTGGCCAAGCCCTTAATGCGTTGAACCCTGTTACTAAGTTTGAAGACAATCGGATAATATTTGCGAGAGTTAATGAACAGAAACAGAAGATAATGACGTTTTTCGTTATTTGAGGGGCCATAACACCGATAAATGAGGTCCGCTGAAAATGATCATCAAACTTGATTGAGCCCTTAAGACATTTAACCCACGTACCAAGTTTGAAGAAAATCTGTTTACATTTTTATAGTTATTGAACCGAAACGAAAAGCAGCAAATAATGACATTTTTCGTTATTCAAGGGGCCATAACTCCGCAAAATGGGGTCCGCTGAAAGTGGTCATCAAACTTGGCCGAGCCCTTAAGGAATTTAACCCTGTAACCAAGTTTGAAGAAAATCAATTAACATTTGTTGTAGTTATTGCACGGAAACGAAGCGCAGCAGATAATGATGTTTTTCAATATTCAAGGGGCCATAACTCCACCAAATGGGTCCGCTGAAAGTGGTCATCAAACTTGGTCGAGCCCTTAAGGAATATAACCCTGTAACCAAGTTTGAAGAAAATCAATTAACATTTGTTGTAGTTATTGCACGGAAACGAAGATAGACAGACAGACAGACGGACAAACCCAAATTAATATCCCCCGTTTCGGTGAAAGCGGGGGATAAAAAGCACGATTTATAGTCTAAGTGATCTTGTATGTTACCATGGTTCTGACATTAACACTAGTTCTTTAGTCAGAGACAATAACAGTAGGTTCATATCATCTATAGCCATGACACAGGTTTACGTCAAAAGATATTTCCTCAATTGATGAGTGAAATACATAGTGAAATATTTTGGTTGTTGGGTTAAACTAGAAAATGTCTGTAAGACATGAATGCCCCGGCTGCCATGTGCAACTAGAACACTGACAGGTCAGTAAGGGCCCCGTCTTGTGGCAATATATCCCCCATAATCATCCTGAAGCAATCTGCCCATTTAGCTGAGCTTGATGTTTGACATTTGGACTTCAAAAAGAATCACAAGGAAGCAAAATATACATTTTACATGTGCTATGATCATGATGTGAGTCTTGTTTCCTTCCACCTCCATATTTGCTGGGCTAACAGATATGTAAATACCGGTGCAATACTCATTTGTTAGCTTTGATTTGTTTTAATTCACCTTATATACCTCCTCCATCAAGATCCAGGATCAAAGTCAGAGATCCACTTTGTCTTTGACCTTTGGACCCAAATGACCTTGACCATTAACCCAATGACCTTGATCTTTGGTCAGTTGACTTATTTTTTAATTCCGACTAACTTTTGCTTCATAATATCATAAAAAAATGTTCATCAGTGAAAAATACAAAACTTGACCTTGACCCTTTGGAACCTATAACCTGGACCTAAGGTCAGTTGACTCTGTGTTCAGTTCTGAACAAGTTTGCTTCATAATAACATAAAATGACCTTGACCTTAAGTCATTTGACTCCTTTTTAAATTCGGACCAACTTTGCTTCATAAAGTCATAACAAAATGTTCATCAGGGAAAAGATACAAAATTTGACTGTGACCTTTGACCCAGTGACATTGACCTTTTCTCAATTGACTCCTTGTTTAATTCTGAGCAACATTGCTTCAAAGTGTCATACCAAAATGTTCACCAGTGAAAAGATACAAAATTAAACCTTGACCTTTGACCCAATGACCTTGACATTTGGTCAGGTTGACTCCTTGTTTACCTCTGATTATTTTTGCTTCATCAAGTCATAACAAAATGTTCATCAGTGAAACGATGCAAAATTTGACCTTGACCTTTGAGTCTAATTACCTTAACCTTTGGCTTCACCTTTTTACCTTAGTGTGTCTCTTTGTTTAATTCCGAACAACTTTGCTTCATGTCATAAAATGCTCATTAGTGAAAAGCTACAAAATTTGACCTTGACCCCTGACCCGATGACCTTGACCTTTGGTCAGTTGACTCCTTGTTGAATTCTGAGCAACATTGCTTCAAAGTGTCATACCAAAATGTTCACCAGTGAAAAGATACAAAATTTAACCTTGACCTTTGACCCAATGACCTTGACATTTGTTCAGGTTGACTCCTTGTTTGATTCTGATCAACTTCGCATCATGCCATAACAAAATGTTCATCAGTAAAAAGATGCAAAATTTGACCTCGACATTTGAACCTAATGACCTTGACCTTGACTTTTTACCTCAATGTGTATTTTTGTGAACTGAACATCTTGACCAGGTTTCATGTACATCGGTCAATAAATACCAAAGTTATCAGCCAGGAACAAAATTTGTGGACGGACAGACAGAGTGATTACTATAGCGCACCTGTATCTCTGATACGGGGCCCTAATTAATTTCAGTGTTTGTTATTATCTTATAAATAGTTATAACGACTTTGATTTTGAAACCCTGAAATATGTACACCTTCGATGTATGATCATATTAATGGAGAAGTATATGGAGAAAACATTTCTATGAAACATTGAGTCATCCAAGATATTCTCATGCTTGAAATCTCTACAAACTTTGATGAAAATCGGTTCAGAAATGAAGTATGTAGATGACAATGAATCAGTTGATGATTTCCTAGATCTTGGCCTTGAATCCTAAATCACTGAGATGTCACAGGGATCTAATACTTGACCTTTGTACAAAGTTTGATCAAAATTCATCAAAAAATGAAGTTGCTAGAGTGTTAACATTAAATCACAACAGGACGGGACAGACATGAGCAGCACACCCCCCCCCCCCCCCCCCCCCATTTTATGACGGGGGCATACAATAAACTAACATGCATCACTGAAGGAATTACAAAGAAACAAAAGGGAAATATTTGATATGAGACTGAGAAGTTGAAAATCATGTACGGTATATTCAGAAAATATATGCTGAAATGCTGCAATACCACTTCTGTATGATATAGACTATATACAGCAAGGGAGACAGAACATTAATATAGGAAGGACAGTATTGATGAAATCTTTGTTTGCCTATAGCCAGCTCAGGATTTTAAGTTCTATAATTATGTCATCCTCAGTCCCTTAATTGATATAAGCATAGGCACGATTTTCACCTTGGACCGAAGATGTAATTAGGAAGGTAATTTGTAGGTAGGCAGAGGGGTAAACAAGTTTGGTGTATACCAAATTTTGACAAAACCTCTGTATGATGTAAAGCCAGGGATCCAAACTTTTAATGGCACCCTGAGAAAAATGATAAGGTAGACACTATACAATTTTTTGTATTTAGCCTTTAACTGTATCTCTGATCCATGCAAACTAAAGGTGACATACCACTAGAACTGGACAGACTTGGACCGGCCTCAGTTTGGTCTTCAGCAGCTGATGCAGTATGTGCCACAGCCTCAGCAATAGGGTGTTGTGTACTGTCAAGACTGGCTGGTCTAGGGAACACTTGTGACAGATCCTCTCGGCCGGTCTCTGTGCTACTGGATTCCCTGTGTTGCCCTATACTGGATGAATCATCATCTCCTAGGGAAGTTGGATCATGTGTTTTATGAACTGCAATGTCTGTTTTCTGGCTTTGATGCTGGCTTCTGGTATCTACAGTTGCCGTGTCCCTGTCCAAAGCTTCTGTATAAATATAACAATGTAATATATATTTTATGGTTGTTTTTTAAATTGAATTCACTCCTTACAATTCAACATAATTTATCTTTTCATGTACCTATACTCATACTTGAATCCTAAATCACTGAGATGTCAAAGGGATTCTGATACTTGACCTTTGTACGAAGTTTGATCAAAATTCGTCAAAAGATGAAGTTGCTAGAGTGTTAACATTAAATCACGACAGGACGGGACAGACATAAGCAACACAACACTCCCCTCCCCTATTTTATGGCGGGGGCTTACAATTCACTTACATGCATCACTGAAGGAATTACAAAGAAACAAATGGGAAATATTTGATATATGACTGAGAAGTTGAAAATGAAGTACAGTATATTCAGAAAATTTAGAAAATGATAGAAGGGGCAGAATTTTCCAAAATGGATTCTATGAAGTACTGTATTTACTAGATACATGAATCTTTCATGAAATTCAGAAATGATAGAATTATACATAGTACACTATATATGTACAAAATGTATTGCAAAACATTAGATAAAACAAGCAGTACCTTTACATGGTGGACCAGGGCCCGAAATCTGTAAAAGACAATAATACACATAATCACACATATACGTAGGACAGTAATTTAGCACAGCACATGTCACGGTACATATGTTAATGAAGATTCATGACTATACATGTACCTACATTATTACAGAAACTTTTATTCAGCGCTTAAACGACATTTTGATCTCTGATCACAAGCCAAACATTACTGCTCTAGGGCAAAATGATCTTTGAAAAGTTGAAGGTTTTAACACATTTGACTACTGTGTCTGTCCATGAAAGTGGACTGAGATTATTTATTTGATTTTTTTTTTATATTCTCTTATCACACTGTGAGGGAAAATGTTTCAGGACCAGGCTATATGGATCTTCAACACACGTTACTTGAAATTTTAACAAGTTGACCTCTGTGTTTATCAAAAAACGTTTAGTCTGTTGCTTTTTCAGAATACTTTCTAAAAGCAAGAGGCCCAATGGGCCTGAATCGCTCACCTGGTATTAATCTCACACTTGTAATCTTAAAAGTGGACTAATACACAGCTACAGGCAAAATATCTGTGTTCGATAAATTTGAATCTATTAAATGATTTAAACATATGACGTCTGTAAACCTGAATGAAAGATTATAGCCTTCTGTCCCGGCATATTTCTGGCTAAATATCATTACCCTGGACCTGATGAATATTCAGAAGTCATTTAAAGATTTAAACATATTTGATCCCTGTGACCTTGAATATGAGCAACGGTCATTCATTAAAACAAACTTGCAATTGGTAGCCCTTCATTCAAGCATGTTAATGGCCAAATATCATCATCCAAGACCTTTTGGTTATTGAGAGGAGGTTGTTTAAAGTTTTTAAACATATTTGACCCCTGTGACCTTGAAAATAGATGAGGGTAATTCATTTGAATAAACTTGGTAGCCCTTCATCCCAGCATGTTACTGGCAAAGGCCCTTTGGTTATTGAGAAGAAGTTTTTAAAAGATGTTTAACACATTGACCCCTGTGACCTTGAAAATAGATGAAGGTCATTTGTTTGAACAAACCTGGTAGCTCTTTATCCTAGCATGCTACTGGTCAAATAGCATCATCCTAGGCCTCTTGGTTATTGAGAAGAAGTTGTTTAAAGGTTTTAAACATATTTCACCCCTGTGACCTTGAATATAAGTAAAGGTCATTTGTTTGAACAAACTTGGTAGACCTCTATTAAAGCATGCTACTGGTCAAATAGCATCATCCTGGGCCTCTTGGTTATTGAGAAGTTGTTTAAAGGTTTTAATCATCTTTCACCCCTGTGACCATGAATATAAGTCAAGGTCATTCATTTGAACAAGCTCTGTAGCCCTCTATTACAGCATACTACTGGTCAAATAGCATCATCCTAGGCCTCTTGGTTATTGAGAAGAAGTTGTTTAAAGGTTTTAAACATATTTGACCTCCACTGTGACCTTGAATATAGGTAAAGGTCATTCATTTTAACAAAATTTAGTAGCCCTTTATCCTAGCATGTTACTGCCTAAATATCATTATCCTAGGCCTCTAAGTTATTCAGAAGAAATTGTTTAAAGATTTTTTAAGACAATTGACCCCTGTGACCTTGAAAATGGGTGAAGGTCATTTATTTGAACAAACTTGGTAGCCCTTCATCCAAGTTTGCTTCTGGCCAAATATCATCACCCTAGGCCTTTCGGTTATTAAAAAGTCGATTAAAGTAAAATATTGATGCCGGACGGAACGCCAGACGCCGCACTAGGGCATAATAAGCCCACTTGGCACTTCGTGCCAGGTGAGCTAAAAATGTGGAAGTGGTCAAGGTCACTTATTACCAACAAATTGATAGTGTGGCCATTTATCTCGGAACCTTACAGACAAAATATCAAAAAACTAAGCTAATGGTTATTTGGAAAAATCTGTTTTAAAAGAATTTACAGATGTAAGGCATATGATCATGAACTTTAGATCATTCATTTGAAAAAATGTTATAGCCCTTAATTTCCCCCAGTATGCTGCATGCCAAAAATTACAACTTCAAGCCCTTTGGTGGTTTATTTAGAAAAAGTTGTTTAAAGAAAGACGTTAACATCAGATTTCAATCTTGGCATACTTTATTAGCATTGGATCCATTGTTTTCTCCAAGGGATTCCTCAGCATCCAGGCTATTAACCACTGAAGAATTCGGGAGAGAATGATCATTGTCTGGTCCATCTTCTGCTGTTCCATCTTGAAAGGGCGCACGCTTTCTCCTGTGTTCCCTGTTTTCCCTACTTTGCTCCATACTGACCTACTCTGAGAGTTGTATCCCATCAAGACAGAAACAAGTAATATTCTATCTGGTAAATATCTGATGATATTCTGCTACAGGTTTTTATGTTGATGAGAAACAACTCGAGGTCCATGACAAGTTTTCCTAGTTAAACCTGAAACAACAAAACAATCAGTTACCATAGACAGAGTAGTGACTTTTACAATTTTAAGGATCCCCTTTCATTTCCAAAAACATAACTAAGTGTTAGAAACTGCTTTATCTAGCATGACTATAGCTTTGATAAATCATTTCTGAAAAGAAAACCATACCTTGCGCGATTTCATGGGAAATAATAAAGATGAAATAAACAAAATGCATCATGATTTGATTGGAAACAAGAGGTCCAATGTGCCTGCATTTCTCACCTGGTATTAATATCACTTGTAACCTTAAAAGTTGACTACAATAAAGCTAAATATAGAATACAAGTATCTATGACAATAAGTCATTCAAAAGAACCTGTTTAAAGATTTTAATCACATTTTGAGATTAGGTCATTTAAAGGTTTAAACACATTAGACCAAATATGACCTTGAAAGTGAGTCAAGGTAATTGACATGAAAAACCTTGATAGCTCTTAATCTGAGCATGCTAATGGCAAAATATCACCATCCTATGCTTTTTCAGAAGAAGCAGTTTAAACTTGTTGACATATTTGACTACTGTGACCTTGAATGTGGGCGAGGTTCATTCATTATTTGAACAAAATTAGTAACCCTTTCATCCCTGCATGCTACTTGCCAAACAAAATCACTTTGGTCCATATGTTTATTTGGAAGAATACGTACTGGGGTTCTATTCCTGGATATGTTTGATATATTTAGGTTATAATGGCACATCACTGTGATATATACAAGAGGCCCAATGGGCCTGCATCGCTCACCTCGTATTAATCTCACACTTGTAATCATAAGATGTCATAAGAACCTATTAAAAGATTTAAACATATGACGCCTATGACCTTGATTGTCAAAGGACATTAGGATGAAAGTGGATCAAGGTCATTCATTTTAACAAACTTGGTTGTCCTTCATTCCAGCATGCTACAGGCCCAATATCAGTACCCTGGGCTTTTTGGTTATTGAGAAGAAGTTGTTTGCAGGTTTTAAGACATTTGACCCCTGTGACCCTGAAAATTGGTCAAGGTCATTCATTTTAACAAACTTGGTAATCCTTCATCCAAGCATGCTACAGGTTTAATATCAGTACCCTGGGCCTTTTGGTTATTAAAAAGAAGTTGTTTGAAGATTTTAAGACATCTGACCCAAGTGACCTTCAAAGTTGGTCAAGGTCATTCATTTGAACAAACTTGGTAACCCTTCATCCCAGCAGGATACAGGCCCAATATCAGTTCCCTTGGTCTTTTGGTTATTGAGAAGAAGTTGTTTGAAGATTTTAAGACATTTGACCCCTTTGACCTGGAAAGTTGGTCAAGGTCATTTATTTTAACAAACTTGGTAGCCCTTCATCTTAGCATGCTACAGGTCCAATATCAGTACCCTGGGCCTTTTAGTTATTAAAAAGAAGTTGTTTGAAGATTTTAAGACATCTGACCCAAGTGACCTTCAAAGTTGGTCAAGGTCATTCATTTGAACAAACTTGGTAACCCTTCATCCCAGCAGGATACAGGCCCAATATCAGTATCCTGGGCCTTTTGGTTATTGAGAAGAAGTTTTTTGAAGATTTTAACATATTTGACACCTGTGACCTTGAAAGTGGGTCAAGGTCATTTATTTGAACAAACTAGGTAGCCCTTGATCCCAGCATGCTACTGGCCAAATATCCTTTGGGCAGGTGAGCTAATAACATTACCTGTACTAACCTTATATTATAACTATTTAATAGTATAAGGGGTGTTATATCTAGTGGGGTGCGATACTTAAATATGTGGCATCCTGTTGTATTAATTGTCAATTTCATGTTTTTGCTTTAATATTGATTATTTGGGTTTGATAAAAAATAAATACTTTATCCTTGAAATTTGTTTTAGCGAGTTACCTATTCCGTTCATGCCGCTGTATCATGTGACCCATACTTTCTATTCCCTATACTTGCTATCAGAGCCTGTATTTGTATACTTTTGTTGACTGGACTAACCATTTGGGGGGAGGGTCAACAAACTCTGGACCCTCTTAACTCTAAACGGACTCACTACCAAATGAGCTACCTGGTGACCGATAATTGACCCAGTCCAGTGCCGCTTCATCAGTTTGTTGTTGACAATGTACAAGACATTAAATAAAGATTGTTTATATTCATTTATTATTTAGTTAATCCAATATTATTGGGTAGATTTTTATCTAAGACTTAACCTAGATTCCATTGTCTAAGCACAGGTACTAGCCTCGTCTGTCTAAACACCTATAATATATATTATAGGTGTATTGACAGATGAGGCTAGTACCTGTGGTCTAAGTTAGCCTTAAGTACAAGTCAAGTATAAATTACATTATATTATGAGAGTTACTTAATTTATATGTAACGATACAAAAATTCAATTTTTGGTCAAACTGATCTTTCGATAAGCAATATGTGTAATATAGTTGTCTGTATTGTACAGTTAGTGTTTTACATCATTTTAAGGATCTGTCTCCAAATGCAATAAACAAAAAGAACACCAAAGTGATCAAGAACATCAAAGTGATTGTCGAGTGTGGGTGTAAAAAGAACCCCAACATCACAAACAGATAATGTTATATATATTCTAGGACCCAGTTATTTATTATTACAGTGATGTGTGAAACCTAATTATATATATAAATAACAAATATTCCAGAACCAGAACACCTGTGTTTAGCCTCACTATTACCAATATATATATATATATGGCCAGTCATCCTTAAAATCATCTTCAAGTGACAACAAGCGTCATCAAAAAAAATCTTTAAAAATACTGAATAAAGAAAGCGACATCAGAAGATATGTTGGTAAGTATGACTATAATACATCTCTATTCCAAACTTCAATTTGATATTTGAAAAATTGACCGAGTTATGATGAATTGATCTTTACAATAGCGCTATTGGTCTAAACATCTATAAAGCTCAATCGGAAGAATGTACTGGACCTGATCATTAGAGGGCTTCAATAGGTTAGGCACAACGGCGCATATAGGTAATAATCCTACATTTGGGTAACAGTTTTATTACTCTTCTTCATCTTCTTTATACGAGGGCTCCATCAGTTTGATGATTATGCCATCGGGGGTCCTATTGTAGAGGCGTGAAGGGGTTATTTATAGTGATTAGGGGTGGGGTGTTTTTTATTGTGATTTTTTTGTCCAAGGTATAGATAAAAAGTTAAAATCTGGTGTATGTACTAGTGTGTGATAAGGGCTTCAAGGGATGTGTAGGGTAAGTGTGCCTTGAAGTCCTCTAGTGTTGTGCATTGGACTGCTGCTAAGGGGAGGAGATTCCATTGTGTTACTGTGTGTGGGAAGAATGAGTATTTGTAGGTGTCCTTTGTAGCAGATATGTGTTTGTATGCGTACGGGTGTACCTGTCTGGTGCGGGGGTCTACAGGTGTGAGTATATGTGTTGGGTTTAAAGCTACGATTCTGTGTATAATTTTGTAAAAAAGGATAATTCTAGTGTATAAGCGTCGTGTTTGTAGTGTTGGCCATTGAAGTGTGTGGATCATGTCTGTTACGGAACTAGTGTTGTGGTATCTGTTTTGTACGTAGCGTGCTGCTCTTCGTTGTGTTTTTTCTATTTGTTTAATTTGGTTTGTGTTGTGTGGATCCCAAATGGAAGAGCAGTATTCAAGTTTAGGCCTAACTAGTGCTTTGTATGCATGTTCTTTTATATGTGGTGAGTTTATTTTCAGGTTGCGTTTGAGAAAACCTAGGGACCTATTGGCATTGGCTGTGATATTGTTTATGTGTTTGTCCCATCGTAGGTTGTTTTGTAGTGTTAGTCCTAAGTATTTGCTTGTTTCTACTTTGTGTAATGTGTGGTTGTGGAGTTTGTAATCATGGTGTATTTTGTTGCGTTTCGGTGTAATGTTAAGTATGTTACATTTGTCGGGGTGCAATTGCATTAACCAGTCTGTCTCCCATTGTCCTGCTGCATCGAGGTCGTGTTGTAGTTTTAATGTGTCTTCTTTGTTGTTTATTGTCTTGTAGACTATATTATTTTTTTATTACTGAAATGGGGAATGAAGTAAAATAAAAACACACAAAGTTGTTTTAAACACTTCGAGCAAAAAAGGGCGTGATTCTTTCAACCTAATCCAACTCAGTATCGGAAGTACTGTAGTAGAAGAAAACGCTTGTTGTCGTTTGAAGACGCTTTTAAGGAGGACCCCTCATGGCACTATGATTATGCGCCATTGTGCCCAACATAAGCATTACGATACTGTCTGGTAAATTATTAGACAAACCGCCAAACCAGTCATAATAAAGCATTACATAGTTATATTTCGAGTTGTAAAATGTATGAGGCAGCAGAGGAACATGACAAATGTTATAAGCATTAGGTATAATAATCACATGTCATACCACGTATTTTCAATCGGCAATGTCGGCGTCTACCGGAGATCTAGTTCAATCGGACTCTTTTTGCCTACGCAAGCTATGCCGACATGGATACTTTGTTTATTTTTGGGAGTGAAAAAAACCACCATTTAGTCTGCGCGGATGTTTAAGAAACCCTATTTTAATCAAAAATTTGCAGAAAAGTAGCACGGAAATTAATCAGTTAACGAAGTTTATTATCTGCATGAAAAGTTTCGCAATCCCATTGGTCGGATCATATACACGTGACCAGTTCTTTAAAAATAGACATTATCCAAGAGTGATTTCTAAATATAGCATATATGGAAATTCCTGGGAACCCCGCAGCGCATGCGCAGTTAGACCGGAACGCGATCTGTCAGACGACATTAGAAGACGGCTGCTGGCGAACGTTTCTCCTCCGTTACATCAGAAAATTACCAAAACTATTCTAAGATAAAGATGCTGTTAGCATTAAAAAGGCCATTGAACGCACAGTGCATTTCCTCCATGCTTATCTTAAGAAAAAGAACCTAGACGATGTCTTCGAAAGCTACGATGCTGAACTGTTGAATTCAAACCTGGCTAAATTACTGAATATAATTACACGGAGCTATAGC